AGAAGCAATGCGTGCATGCACCCTTTCCCCACATCCTCGCCAACATAATTATGCAAATAATGATAATTATGTCCCATGAGATATCTTGTAGGATTCAAGTTTGAGATAATTATGTAAAGGGCTTGAAACTGTTCCTGACATACAGTAATATATGAGCTAAAATCATTATTATAAAAATATTAATATAAAAATCAGTGGTTGTTTGTCAAAAAGAATTTTCTATCCAAACCATCATTTATGGATTATTGGGAATCTTAGGTTTTATTTATCTAGTATTGCTCCCAGTATCTGGAGGTAAGAAACAGAGTGTACATATAGTGAGCTTCTGCAATGGCCAGCCATTAAAATAAGCATGTTTACTAAACTGTCAATTTAATTGTCTTTATATTTTTCCAATTCAGCTCAGAAAACCGCGGAAGTAAAGTTCATCGATGTAATTCTGGGCGTGGTGGATCAGATGAGTGGAGTGACAAACTATTTTGCCCACCCAACGGTTTTATCTATGGTTGTGCCGGGCAACCGCAATGATTCCTACTTTTACTGTGGAAATGCTGTTACTATCTTTCCTTTATCATAACCTGTTTACAAACTCTAAAGGCAATTTCAATCCTAAACCTGTGCCGTTTCTTTTCCTCTGCAAAGAACGACTGGCGGGTCCCATGCAATCATTTAAACGAGGCGCTGCGGTTTCATTGGCCAGAAGCTGCTGCTCATTGATTGGCCCCCCTGGTGTTGTGGGCGGAGCGCGGAGGTGCCCATTGGCGGAGGCGAAAAATTTAAACGGAGGCAAAAGGCAGGACTAGTTTTGCTCCGTGACTTGAGTTTGCGAGTTTGTGGGGTTGGTATCCTTTTTATTTCTAGGGTGTCGGCTTCTGGAAAACAAAGCGGGGTAAATTCGCTCCGACCATTTCCACGGCCGCGCGGTGAAGCGGTCAGCATCGGTCGGAGGTCCCTGCTCCGGAGCAGCCTGGTAGGGGGTAGGGAAGGAGGCCGGGTCGGGGTCTGAGGCTGCCATGGCGAACCGGCGAGTGGGGCGAACCTGCTGGGAGCTGAGCCCTACGGAACGCCGGCCGCCGGCGGGGCGGCGGGACCCAGCGGCCCAGGAGGAGGCGGCTTCCCCGCCGACGCTGTCTCTCAGCCACTTCTGCAGGTCCCCTTTCCTCTGCTTCGGAGATGTCCGCCTGGGCGCCTCGCGGACGCTGCCCCTGGTCCTGCACAACCCTAACGAGGAGGTGGCTGAGGTGGAGATCTCCCACTTCCCGGCCGCGGACCTGGGCTTCAGCGTGTCTCAGCGTTGTTTCGTGTTGCAGGTATGTCGTGGGGCGGGGCGTGTCTTGGGCTGCGCTTTCTACCCTGTCCTTCCCGCCGCCTTCCTCCGTAGGGATGAAGCTTGGGAAAGGAATGACAAAAATACCCTCAGAGAATAAAGGCAGAGTGTGGTGGCCCTTGACACACATTTTTCCACGCACATATATAATGTTAGGGCACTCAGTTACTTGGGCGGTGACAGTGCATCAAGGCATGCCTACTTATCTTTAACAGCATTTTAAGTAAACTTTATGCAAAAACAAAAAAAACCAGGCATTTAAAAATGTGTTCCGGGTATTTTTAAATACTTTTGGTGTTTTTAAACTAATAGTTGGCACTAAGAGTGCATTCAATTTAATTTTATGATATTTGTTTCAAGAACCCCCCACATAGCTTTTACAGCCTGCTTTGGCCAAAGTACTAGTCCCATTCCCATCACCACAAAAGAGAAAATTTGGTTCTTATTTTGACTGATGTGTCCTTTTAATTGAGTAGATCCTTGGAAAGCATGAAATCATTAACTGGGGGAGTCTAGATGGCTAATAACCACTTCATAAGGCAGTAGTAATTCAAAGCTGAGGTCCATTGCCTTCTGTGTCACTGCTCATCTGCACTTCAGAACCTGGCTGGTCTTGTTTATAAATGACTGCTTTTCTTCCTATGGAAAGTTAGATTTCTGTTCTGTATAGTGATACTTTTACTTTTTTATGTTGTTGTTATAATGTAGAAGTAAAGTTCTTGTTTTCAGAGTAAATTGTTTTACACAGTAAAGATTCTGTATTTGTATTTTCTAAAACAAACTGCTTATGATGTTATATAGATTTGCTTTTCAAACAAAAAACTGTTTTTTTTCCTCTGACAAACAACCAAGGTTTTGTTTGTTTGTAATTGTTGTTTTGTCATGTCAGGGTTTGGCAGATTCTACTGGACAGGCTGTATGGTGTAGATAGATGTTAAAGTCTAAACTCTGGAGCCAGACTACTTGGGTTCTAATTATTAGCCGTATGACTTTGACAAAGTTTATAGACATTGGTCACTTCATAGTTAACCAGTTGTATGAGATACCTGCAATTGTTCCTGAAACATACAGATTGTTTAACAAAGATCAATTTTATGATGTGGACTGTAGAGGAGTTTGTGAGAAAGAGGAAATTTAGTTGATCATCTTTATGTTTCTTTTTCCACAAAATCTTTATAATACAGGACCATTATATTTGAAATAGAAGTACTGCACATGATAAAGGAGTAGACATTTCAATTTTTTTTTTTAAGCCACTCAATTAAAATGATCTGGAGACTATTCTATTGCTTTCATCCAGTTAGATTTTTTAAAAAAAAATTTTTTTTTTTTAGTTGTCAATGGATTTACATGTAGTGTTGAGAATTGAACCCTGTGCTTCACACATGCAAGGCAAGAGGTCTACCACTGAGCCAGGACACCAGCCCTCATCCAGTTGGATTTTATTATAGTTTTATGTTGTTATGAACCCTGTTAGTGCTGGTGACTATTTTCATTATAATGAAATGAGCAGATCAGGTGGTGGGAAAAATATATTTGACTTACCAAATGCTTTTAGGATTTTAGAGTGTTCATGAATAATAGTTGTTGTATGGTATGCTTTGATTATTTTAATTATATTGTCATAATCATTTAAAATGTATTCTTTTGATTGTAGCCTAAAGAAAAACTAGTTGTTTCTGTTAACTGGACACCATTGAAAGAAGGCCGAATAAGAGAGATTGTGACATTTCTTGTAAATGATGTTCTGAAACACCAAGCCATATTGCTAGGAAATGCAGAAGAGCAGAAAAAGAAAAAGGTAATAGTTTAATCATTCTATAATTTACTCCAAGAAAATGTTTCATAATGTGTAAAAATTGTTTTGATGACAAGCCTGAAGTAACATGTATAAATTGCTTATTAAAATAATATTCAATGGTTTTTAATTTCATCAGTATATTTTGTTTGTTTTTACAGAGGAGTCTTTGGAATACCATTAATAAAAAGAAAAATTCAGCCTCTTCAAGTTATAACAAAAAGATTTCAAATGATCAAAACGTTAACAAAACATTTTGTGTTTCTCAAAAAGTTGACAGAATTAGGAGCCCACTACAGGCATGTGAAAATCTGGCTATTAATGAAGCCTGTTCTCCAACAGAAAATAGTTCTTTAACCCTTGAAGAACATAAAATACCTATATCACCTATTAGCCCTGCTTTCCAAGAATGTCATGGTGAAATTTGCTTGCCACTTTCTGTACGTCGGTCTACTACCTACTCATCTCTTCTTGCATGTGAAAATGAGGAACAGTTAAAAGTAGAAGATGCCACCATTTCAAAAGATTTTAATTTTAATGAGGAAGTCATAACTAAAACTTCCTTTCAAAGTGAGGAGAATAGTAAACTTATTCTGACCCCAAACTGTTCTTCAACTTTGAACATTATGCAAAGTCAAGCAAATTTTCTAAGTCCAGATTCTTTTGTAAGTAATAGTCATACAGCTAATAATGAAGTAGGGTTAATGACATTTCTTTCACCAGATACACTTAAAAAAGATAATTCAGAGTCTGTGAATTTGGAATCCAAAAGTATACATGAAATTTACAGAACAATTTTAAGTCCAGATTCTTTCGTAAATGATAATTATGGAGCAAATCAGGATCTAGAGTCAGATTCAGTTAATCCTATTTTATCCCCAAATCAATTTGTAAAAGATAACATGGCACATATATATACCTCTCAGCAAACATGTAAAATATTATCATTATCAAATGAAAATTCTCAGATTGCCCGGTCTCCTCAGCACTGGAGAAAAAATGAAGTTTTGCCATGTAGTCCTGAATATCAGGGTTCAAAAACACCCAAGCCTAATTTTGAAGAACTAAATCCTATAGAAGTGAAGTCAAGTTACTACAATTTTAGAAAACAAATTCACCCTAAATTTTCTGCAGTTCAGGATGTTTCTCGTTATAGCCATAATAAGCAACATAAGAGACGCCCCATACTTTCTAACACAGTTATTAAAAGGAAGACCACCATTGCCAGAGACAATCAAACTGAGATTAATAAACCAAAAGCAAAAAGATGCCTCAACAGTACAGTAGGTGAATGTGAAAAAGTAATAGATCACCCCAAAGAAACAGAAACTTTACATTCTCATCTTCCAATTATCGATTCAGTATTAAGTAAACCTAAGTGTTATAAAAGTGAAGTAACTAATTCTACGACAGCTTTAGTTGCTTGTAAAAGAAAAAGTGATGGAAACATGGAAGATACAAATGTGAAGGTTGCTATTATAGAACATATGGATATACCCAAAATCAAAAGAATCCACTTTTCTCCCTTGGAATCGAAAACATCAACTGTTAAAAAAATTAAGATGACAACACCAATCTCAAAACGTACTAGCAACAGAGAGAAATTAAGCCTTAAGAAGAAAACTGGTGAGTATTATTTATAAAATCTCTAGTGTATTTTCTGTTTTGGTTTAGTGAATCTGCTATTGATAAGCTTATATTAACTTGTACTTTTCATTTGTCAAATTGCTCAGTGGAAGACAGAACAAATAGTTTGGGACTAATTTCTGAAATTGTTGCAATCTTGTCTGTTAAACTTTGGATATTTTTTAAAATTTTATTTATTGATTTTTTTAGTTGTAGATGGACACAATACTTTTATTTATTTTTTTATTTATTTTTATGCGGTCTTGTGAATTGAACCCAATGCCTCACATGTGTGAGGCAAGCACTCTCCCACTGAGTCACAACCCCAGCCCAAACTTTTGATATTTTACTCATGAATTTTCTGCAATAATTCTGTTTTTTAAAAAATATTATATCCAAATATTTATCTCAATTTGATATTTTTGGTACCTCCTTAAGTTTTACACCCTAAGAAAGTATTTGACATGTCTTGCCTTAGTCCACGCCCTAACTAGAAGGCCCAGTGAAGTTCCTGGCCCGCATACTACCATCGGAAAGATTGTAGGAAAGACCTTTTCATGTCCTGTGCTCCTGATAAGCTTACTCTGTCTTTGCCTCTGCCCATCCACTTATTGGAAATGAAGATAGGTCCCTAGAGTTCTCCATTTCTTAGAGAAGAATATTTTTCCTTTTCTAGTATTCACAGCTTTATCACACTGCCTCAGAAGCAGACAGGATTAATCCCATCACACTTTTAACCCAAAATACCTCTTCTGACAATCAAGATCCAAGCAGGAAAGTAACCCACACTATGTATTTTACCAGATAATTTGAAAGAATTCTAGGCCTCCTAAGAAATATACACATCTCTCATTTGAACATCCCTCAATTTGAACTGTTTTCTTTCTCCTATTCTGTAAATCCTTCTATATCCTTTGGACTCACTGTTCTTCATTAGCACTTCTTTGCAAACATTCTCCTACCTTGTTACCCTGTTGCAGCCTGACCTTCTCTTGACAACAGTGCTTTCATTATAACCCTCTCAAGTTCTGTCTGCATTCTCTCCTACTTTTATGATTTTGGAGCTCCTGCTGGAATCTTCTAATATCTACTTTTTATTTTTTATCTATTTCCAAACTAATATCCCCTCTCTCCCTTAAAAACAAGCAAAAAGAAAATAACAAAATAGCTTAAAGCTCATTTTTCAGACTTTCTCACCTTTGTCCTCTCTTGATGCAGAGAATGATTCACTCTCAAAATTTTGAATCTTGCTTATTATACTTTTTCTAAAACTACTACTATTATGATTTCAAAATCATTTTAGAATATCTTTCTAATACTCTGGGAATTTAGTTCCAACCTCCTTAGGTCATGCTCTCCTAAAAGCATCTTAATCTCCAGTTACTATCTCTATAAGTTCCACATTTCCTCTAGAACCCAACTTCAACATTGTTTATACCCCACTGTACACATAGTTCTTTAATCCACCACTGTTTCCATGGCCCTCATTTCTGACCTATCTATCTTTCCTAATTCAGCTTGAATTCCATGGTTCAACATAAGCACTTCCTCTGCCTTCCTTCCCTTCATTGTCCATGCAGCAAATTCCAACTGTATTTCAGTCTAACTTTGCCTACTCTATGCCTGAACCTTGCTTGGTTGTTCTTTATGACTACAAACCCCAAGTAATCCCTGAACTCTTTTTATGGCTGTATTTTCCTGGCTTATTGACTTTGCTATAGGGTACCTCACCTTTTTCTCCTGAAACTTCTCTTTCCTCCTGTCTTATGATTGATAATAGTAGCTAACATTTACTGAGTTCTTTTATGTGTCAGACCTAGTTGTGAGTGCCTCACTATTACCTCTTTTAATATTTATGACATTCATGTGCAGTAAATGTTATTTTTACCCATAGCACAATTTTACAAATAGGTACATTGAGACTTGAGTAATTTGCCCATTTTACAGTCAGTCAGTGATAAAGCTGGGATTCTATCCCAGGTAATGTCAGTTCTGTGATCTTTATCCAAGCTGAGACCCGTTTCCTATTTCACTGAAGGAGTAGAAATATAGATGCTTCTCTATTTATTAAGGATTACATCCAATAAACCCATTATAATCGACCTTAACAAGAAAAGTTTCAATAAAATAGCAAAAACTGATTGAAGTGGATTCAACAATTTTAGGTGATGAATTGGAAATAACTAATAAAGCTCCTTTCAAAATGATGTTTTACTTCAGAAAATAACTTTTAATTAAGTATAATCTATATGCAAAAATTATACAAATCAGTATATAACTCAGTGAATGATCACAAAGGGAACATTGACTCTATTAAGGAGTTTTGCTTAAAAGAAAATGTAAGCAACATAAGCATAGAGCATAGGCTGAAGGGATAAATGGTCAGTGAGTTCCACACTGTAAATCCAGTGATTATTTCTCAATCTTTTTTTTTTTTTTTTTGTACTGAGGATTGAACCCTGGTACATTTAACCACTGAGCCTCAGCCCTTTCCTGTATTTTATTTGGAGGGTCTGGCCAAGTTGCTTAGGGTCTCCCTTAGTTGATGAGGCTGGCTTTGAACTCATGATCCTCCTTCCTGAGCCTCCCAAAGTGCTGGGATTACAGGCGTGCACCACCATGCCTGGCTATTCTCAATCTTCATCTTGAACTATTTGTAAACAGTTTGGAGCCTTGAACCTCTGTCTTCTTGGAACATTTTATCTTGCCATTCTCATTCTCCTGGTTTTCTTCCTTCTTCATTGACTGCTCCCTTTCAGTTTTCTTTGTGGGAAGTTTCTTATTTCCCTTACACTTTGGATTACAGAGAGCTAGTCATTAAACATTTTTATATTTTTACTCATTCTCTTAATGATCTCATCTTATAGCTTTCAATACTATCTATAATGTAGACCTCCCATATATTTCTTCAAGATGGGCCTCTAATGTATAGACTCATATTTTCAACATAGGATATTTCTACTTGACTGTATAATAATCTTCATTACTTAATTCATGCAAAACTAAACCTTTGTTATCTTCACTCCCCAAACAGACCCTCCTGGTTTTCATTTCCCATCTCTGTAAATGATACATCTATTATTTCTCAATAGTGAGGCCCAAAGCTGTGGAATTGTCCTTATTTGTGTTTCTCTCTCATCCTTTCTTTATAAACTCAAATGCAGATCTGATTCTAAACTCAGTCCACCAACAAATTTTCTCTTTCCTTCAAATATAATCATAATCTGATCACTTCTCACTCACCATTGAATGGCACCATTTGGGCCAGTCTTTGTCATTGCAGGATGTGCAAACAGATCTCCTTGCTTTCACCCTTGACTTTTCCATGGTCTGCGAACCCACATACTACTTTTAAAATATTAGAGGCTTGGACTGTTCAGTTCCATAACATCTAATGACTTCCTGTTACAATGAAAGCCAAAATTCCTACAGTGGTTTACAGGTCCCTATAACATCAATATTATGACCTTTTGACTTTCCAGCCTCTTACTTTTCTCTTTCCCTTGCTCACTGTTTTTTACCACTTTGGCTTCCTTGTAGTCCTTGAAACTTCAAATATGCTCTGTCCTCAGGGTATTTTTAGTTTGTTGTTTTCTCTAACTAGAATGACCTTTTTATTTAGTTCAGTCATCATCGTATCATGTTCAAAACAGTGACTTGACCCAGGTTCTCAAACGCTACCGAATATTTAGAGTCACAGTTTAAACTTAGGTTTACCTAGCTACAACATAAATGTTTTTTTTTTTTTTCCACCATTCTTGTTAAACTATTGGGGTTTAAATGGAAGAAAAGCTAAATAAAAGTTTTTATTTGGGGTAACGACCAAGGATTATAGTGATAGCACAATGGGATTCACTGGCTTCAAAGTTCTGTGCCAGTGTATAATTATTAAAACAACTCTTCTAATTTTCCACTATGTGGTGTTTTTCTTCCTTGCTCAGGAAACTCCAATGGTGCTGTACTGTTATCAGATGATTTACAAAATTATTATTCTGTCATTTTAGGTCATCAGTTATATGATCTCTGTTTATCTAGCCAGATATCTTTATTCACCATTCTGTCTGTGTATCCTCTTACTAACATTCATATCTGTTTTTCTCTCATTAATTCAATCCTTTATTTCAAGTACTATAACCAACTTTTGTTAATACTGTTCTCTAATGAATTTCCCTCTAATTATATTCCCTTAGAAACTAAATACAGCTTATGTGACATCTTGAACCTACCTGTTAGTTCTATTTCTTGCTTTACTGTTTTTTTGTAGATATGTTCTGATCCAATAACAAATTATTTGATTCTAAGAAACATATCCATTTTGGTCTCCTACAAGGTTTACAACAAATGAACAGAATGAATTCGTGAATGAATGAATGAACAAAGACCACTGAATTTTTGACACTCAAACCCGTACCTGTTTTTGAGGCGGCCACGTGGTTGAACCTCTTTATTAGGTTTAGAGAGAACTGTACATATTTGGTATCTGATATATGAGCCCATAGAAGAGCCAGTAATTCACTAAGAGCTGCTCTTGCTTCTTTCTCTTCTGACAAACAATTCTCCAGATATATTTCTTCAACACTAATGAGGCCCCTTAATAAAGCACATATTAAGTGTTCATACATTGTTTAGGCTCTGTTTTCCCAGGGAAAAAATATAATTTGTATCCTCAAGCTACTCCCAGTTTTAATGATTAAGCTCTGCCCAAGGAATTATTGAAGCATAAAAGCAGAGATGTTGTATGAATGGCAAAGAATATGATAAGGTACTAATGCAGGCTTCCTAATGAATAAAATGATTTCAATGCGGAGGACTAGCTTGTTGAAGGTTGCAAAGTGAGTCTCCCTATTATGTTTTAGTCTCCCTATTATGTTTTAAATGTTCAAATAAAAAGAAAATTATAACTTAATAAATGTTATAACTTGATCATGTTCCTTATCTTCATAATAGGTATAGATTTGAGATTCATCTAAAACAAGAGTAAGCAGATTTTTTTTTTTTTTTAGGGATTTTTAAAAAAATAACTTTTTAAATACCTTTATCTTATTTATTTATTTTTATGTGGTGCTGAGGATCGAACCCAGGGCTTCACACATGCTAGGCAAGTGCTCTTTCACTTGCCTACTACAACCCCAGCCCCTTTTTCTTTCATGGTTCAGATAATAAATATTTTTGGCTATGCAGGCCATATTTCTATCACAACTATTTAGCTCTGCCATTAACAATGTGCCTGTGTTCTAATAATTTTTTATTTATAGTCACTGAAATTTGAATTTCATGTAGTTTTTATGTCATCAAATATTATTCACTTCATTTCCCCCCATTCATTTACAAATGTAAAAACTATTCTTTGCTATAGAACATACAAAAGAAGATTGTGCTGGATTTTACACATGGGCTATAGTTTGCTCTAATTAGGAAAGATGCTTACATTTAGTAGCAGAATATGCTGGTATGAAACCTGCTTTTGAGAGAGTGAACTGCTACTCCTATAGGTATTTGCTACTATGAATTTTATTGCCTTTTCCTTTATAATTACTTGCTATTTATTAATCATGTGAGCTATATACTTGGGAATCAGTCTGTTCTCATTCTTTACCACTTTCCTAGTGAGTTGGTATTAAGACTTATTGTTTCAACTATTAAAACAACTCTGCTCTGTTTCCTACCTTTGTTAAAAATTATTTTATCATATCTAACTTGGCTAATAACTACCTGGTAGTTTTTTATCTTTAGTCATAACCCCATTCATTTTCTTGCTTATACTATTTTCAAAAATAAAGATGAAGGTGTTATTTCTTGGAATAAAATCTGTCACTGAAATAGAGGGTACTTCAAACTTGTTAATAGTGCAGGCTCTAGAACTTGACTACCCAGGTTCAAACCCCTGCTGCTTCCTAACTTATGTGACCTCTAAGCCCTAGAATCCTAATTATGTAAATTTTGGATAATTATAGTACTGTTTTCATAGATTTATTGTGATAATTATATGAGTGAAAGATTGATACTTAATAGCTCTTGGCATAGTATATTCAATTATTAGCTGCCACTATTATTAATATTGTTGAACTCTTCCCTTCCTCTTCCAACTTCTTTTATGTAATTTCTTATATGTGTTTATTCTTTGTTGTATCCTTGTTATAGTTTTGTCAGCAAGCCATATCCCTTGTGCTTAATATTCATTTTAGGAGTTAGCACATGTATATTTTCATCCAGAAGGTCTTTTATGCCCTTTTTAAACTTTTTCTGTATTAGACTTAACTGCCTATAAGCTGTGACAATTATCTTTCTATTCTGTATTTTCCCTGTACCTAACACACTCTGGAATATATGCACATAGTCAATTGTGGTTAAATCTGGACAGTAACTTCTGTAGACAAAAATTAAATGTGTTTTTTTGGTCCGTATATTCTAGATGTTGGTTTCATTGACCACTAAGTTCGTAATATTAGTATCTGAAGCATAGTAATTATTAAGTATTTGCTAAATGAATATGATTATGAAGAACCCATACTTTTAATTTTAAATGAGCTACCAACTTTGGGAATTTTATTTTTTAATGCTATTAATTTTGTTTTCTAATGTATTTTAGATTCAATGGCATTCAAAACGCCTATTTCTAAAACAAACAAAAGGATAAAACCCATTGTTGCTGTGGCACAGTCTAATTTGACCTTCATAAAACCATTAAAAGCAGGTAAGTGCTTATTATATTTAAACTGAAAATATAGTTTATTATATTTAATCTGAAAAAGTGACATGGAATGAAGCATCAATTTCATTTCAAATAGAAATGAGTTTTTTAAAAAATTTGAATAAAGGCCTTGAAGAATTTTTAAAGCGTGTATGCAAATTATAATTAAGGTATTCTATCAGATTTTACTGAAATTGCTTCATGGTAGGTTAGGATTTTTAAATAATCAGGGAATTTTGTTTTACTCCCTATCATTTTGCTTGATCACATTTCATACCCAAAATGTTTTCAAGTCTTTGCAGCAAGTAGTGAAAAGCAAATATTGTTCAGTTTTTTTATTATGGTTTCATTGGTTTAAAAAAAAGTTATTTTTCTATATATTGTACAGTAATTTACTAGAAATTTTCATATGTAATAATCTAGTTGTATTCTTAGATATTCCTAGACACCCAATGCCATTTGCTGCAAAAAACATGTTTTATGATGAGCGCTGGAAGGAAAAACAGGAACAAGGATTCACTTGGTGGCTAAATTTTATATTAACTCCGGATGACTTCACTGTAAAAACAAGTATTTCTGAAGGTAAACATTAAGTTAATGTTTAAATTTAATAATACTCTTGTTTTAGCAGACCAAAATTTGACAGGATTTGTCATTCTTTAATTATATATACTTTACTTATTACGTTATATTTCACTAATTTATTGACCTAAGTTTTTAAGATTGTGTAGGTAATTTTTCTTACATAGGTTGACATGAATAGATTTTCTGTACTAAAAGTACTGAAACTTGCTTTTTCTTTTTACCTTCCATTCTATCATTTTATCAGCCAATGTAAGCAGTCCTTTGTGGCCTGAACATTTTGGATGTATTGACTCCACTGTTAATACCTTAGTTTAAGGAGTAGGTCAGAAAACTGCATAGTACAGGGACTGTGAGAGACAATTCAGATGAAATTTTAAAACACTGCAGTGTTTATTCTGGAAGAGAAGACTTGGGTGTGGGATAAGGTAGAAGCATGACACTTTGAAACATTTGAAGCATTTTCTTCTGAAAGAGAAAGAAATCTAACTTTTGTGTATTCTTCATAGAAATTATAGGAATCCATTTCAGATAACCAAAATGATTTTAGTTATCAAACCATTGTGTAATCTTGCAAAACGGTGATTTCCCCATTGTTGCAATGTTCAAACAGACCATATTTCACATTTACCAGAGAAACGTGTAGGATTTCTTCTATTAGATGCAGAGTCTCTGGTTTAATTCCTAGTTCCTTGATCCATTTTGAGTTAAGCTTTGTGCATGGTGAGAGATAGGGGTTTAATTTCATTTTGTTGCCTATCGATTTCTAGTTTTCCCATCAACATTTGTTGAAGAAGCTATCTTTTCTCCAATGTATATTTTTGGCGCCTTTGTCTAATATAATTGTAATCATATGATTCTGTGTTCTCTATTCTGTACCATGGTCTACCAGTCTGTTTTGGTGCCAATACCATGCTGCTTTTGTTACTATTGCTCTGTAGTATAGTTTAAGTTTGAGTTCTGGTATAGTGATGCCACCTGCTTCACTCTTCTTTCTAAGGATTGCTTTTGCTATTATTTTTCCAGATGAATTTCATGACTTCTTTTTCTATTTCTATGAGGAGTATCATTGGGATTATGATTAGAATTGCATTAAATCTGTATAGTGCTTTTGGTAGTATGATCATTTTGACAATGTTAATTCTGCCTATCCAAGAACAAGGTAGATCTTTCTGTCTTCTAAGGTCTTCTTTAATTTCTTTCTTTAGCGTTCTATAGTTTTCGTTGTAGAGGTCTTGCACCTCCTTTATTAAATTTTGATTCTCAAGTATTTTATTCTTTTTTTGAGGTTATTGTAAACAGGATAGTTTTTCTCATTTCCCTTTCAGAGGATTTGTCACCGATATACAGAAATGCATTTGATTTATGGGAATTGATTTTGTATCCTGGTACTTTGCTGAATTCATTTTACTAGTTTCCTGGTGGAGTTTTTTGGATCTTCTAGGTATAGAAGAATCATAGGCAAATAGTGCTAATTTGAGTTCTTCTTTTCCTATCTGTATCCCTTTAATTTCTTTCATCTAATTCCTCTGACCAGTGTTTCAAGAACTATGTTAAATAGAAGTGGTGAAAGAGGGCATCCCTGTCTTGTTCCAGTTTTTAGAGGAAATGCCTTTACTGTTTCTCCATTTCAAATGATGTTGGCCTGGGGCTTAGGCTTATCATAGATAGCTTTTATGATGTTGAGATATATTCCTGTTATCCCTATTTTTCTAGTGCTTTGAACATGTATAGGTACTGTATTTTGTCAAATGCTTATTTTGCATCTATTGAGATGATCATATGATTCTTTAAGTCTATTGATGTAATGAATTGCATTTATTGATTTCCATATATTGAGTCAGCCTTGCATCCCTGGTATGAAACCCACTTGATCTTGGTACATTATCTTTTTGATATGTTTTTGTATTCAATTTGCCAGAATCTTATTGAGAATTTTTGCATCTATGTTCATTAGAGATATTGGTCTGAAGTTTTATTTCTTCGATGTGTCTTTGCCTGGTTTTGGAATGAGGGTGATATTGGCCTCACAGAATGAATTTGGAAGTGCTCCTTCTTTTTCTATTTCACAGAATAATTTATAGAGTATTGGTATTAGTTCTTTAGAACTCAATTGTGTATTCATCTGGTCCTGGGCTTTTTTTGGTTGGTAGGCTTCTGATGGCGTCTCCTGTTAATATGTTTAAATTGTGTATATCATCCTGATATTCAACTTGGGCAAATCATATGCCTCTAGAAATTTGTCGGTGCCTTTGATATTCTCTATCATATTGGAGTACAAGTTTTTAAAATAATATCTAATTATCTTCTGTATTTCTGTAGTGTCTGTTGTGATATTTCCTTTTTCATCACGTTCATTAGTAATTTGAATTTTCTCTCTCCTCTCTTTGTCAGCATGGCTAAGGGTTTGTTAATTTTATTTATTTTTTCGAAGAACCAAGTTTTTGTTCTGTTAATGTTTTCTTCTTTTTTTATTGGTTGTTCAAAACATTACAAAGCTCTTGACATATCATATTTCGTACATTAGATTCAAGTTGGTTATGAACTCCCAATTTTACCCCAAATTCAGATTGCAGAATCACATCGGTTACACATCCACATTTTTACATAATGCCCTATTAGTAACTGTTGTATTCTGCTACCTTTCCTATCCTCTACTATCCCCCCTCCCCTCCCCTCCCCTCCCATCTTCTCTCTCTACCCCATCTACTGTAATTCATTTCTCTCCTTGTTTATTTTCCCATTCCCCTCACAACCTCTTATATGTAATTTTGTATAACAATGAGGGTCTCCCTCCATTACCATGCAATTTCCCTTTTCTCTCCCTTTCCCTCCCACCTCATGTCTCTGTTTAATGTTAATCTTTTCTTCCTGCTCTTCCTCCCTGCTCTGTTCTTAGTTGCTCTCATTATATCAAAGAAGACATTTGGTATTTGTTTTTTAGGGATTGGCTAGCTTCACTAAGCATAATCTGCTCTAGTGCCATCCATTTCCCTGCAAATTCCATGATTTTGTCATTTTTTAGTGCTACGTAATACTCCATTGTGTATAAATGCCACATTTTTTTTATCCATTCATCTATTGAAGGGCATCTGGGTTGGTTCCACAGTCTAGCAATTGTGAATTGTGCTGCTATGAACATCGATGTGGCAGTATCCCTGTAGTACGCTCTTTTAAGGTCTTCAGGGAATAGTCCGAGAAGGGCAATAGCTGGGTCAAATGGTGGTTCCATTCCCAGCTTTCCCAGGAATCTCCATACTGCTTTCCAAATTGGCCGCACCAGTTTGCAGTCCCACCAGCAATGTACAAGAGTACCCTTTTCCCCACATCCTCGCCAGCACTTGTTGTTGTTTGACTTCATACTGGCTGCCAATCTTACTGGAGTGAGATGGTATCTTAGGGTGGTTTTGATTTGCATTTCTCTGACTGCTAGAGATGGTGATGAGTTCTGTTAATATTTTCAATTGTTTCTTTTGTTTCAATTTCATTGATTTTTGGCTGTGATTTTAAATATTTCCTTAAATATGTCTTCTATTGCTTTTGGTGTTGATTTGTTGTTCTTTTTCTAAGGCTTTGAGATGTAATGTTAAGTCATTTATTTGTTGACTTTTTCTTCTTTTAAGGAATGAACTCCATGCAATGAACTTTTCTTAGAACTGCTTTCATAGTGTTCCAGAGATTTTGATATGTTGTATCTGTGTTCTCATTTACCTCTAAGAATTTTTTAATCTCCTCCTTGATGTCTTTCGCAACTCATTGTTCATTTAGTAGCATATTATTTAGTCTCCAGTTATTGGAATAGTTTGTATTTCTTATTTTATCATTAATTTCTAATTTCATTCCAGTATGATCTGATAGAATGCAGGGTAGTATCTCTACTTTTTTGTATTTGTTAACAGTTACTTTGTGGCATAATATATAGTCTGTTTTAGAGAAGGATCCATGTGTGTTTAGAGAAGAAAGTATATTTTCTCATTGAAGGATGAAATATTCTATATATGTCAATTAAGTCTAGGTTATTGAGTATATTATTGAGTCCTATATTTTCTTTGTTCAGCTTTTGTTTGGAAGACCTATCCAGTGGTGTAAGAGGTGTGTTAAAGTCACCAAAATTATTATGTTGTGGTCAGTTTGACTCTTGAACTTGAGAAGAGTTTGTTTGATGAACATAAATGCTCCATTATTTGGGGCATATATATTTAAAATTGTTATGTCTGGTTGGTATATGGTTCACTTGAGCAGTATGAAATGTTCTTGTTTGTCCCTTTTGATTAACTTTAGCTAAAGTCTACTTTATTTGATATGAGGATGGAAACCCCTGCTTGCTTCTGCAATCCATGTGAGTGGTATGATTTTTCCCAACCTTTTACCTTCAGTCTATGTATATCTTTTCCTATGAAATGAGTCTCTTGAAAACAGAATATTCGGGCTGGGGATGTGGCTCAAGTGGTAGCGCGCCCGCCTGGCATGCGTGCGGCCCGGGTTCGATCCTCAGCACCACATACAGACAAAGATGTTGTGTCTGCCAAAAACTAAAAAATAAATAAATAAATATTTTTTAAAAAAAAAAGAAAACAGAATATTGTTCTGTCTTTTTTTGATCCAATCAGCTAGCCTATGTCTTTTGATTAGTGAATATAGGCCATTAACATCAGGGTTATTATTGAGATATGATTTGTATTCCCAGCCACTTTTGTTTATTTTTGTTATTTAACTTGACTTGGTTTTCCTTTGATTAGCTTTTCCTTTAGTGTAATACCTACCTTTGCTGATTTTTATTGTTGTTTTTCATTTTCTCTTCATAAAATAGTTTGCCAAGGATGTTCTGTAGTAGAGGTTTTCTAGCTGTAAATTCTTTTGACTTTTGTTTATCATGGAAGATATTTATTTCATCATCAAATCTAAAGCTTAGTTTTTTGCTGGATACAAAATTCTTAGTTGGCATCCATTTTTTTTTTTTTTTTCAAAGCTTGATATATGTTGTTATAGGATCTTCTAGCTTTCAGGGTCTGGGTTGAAAAATCTGCACATAACCTAATTGGGTCCCCCTATATGTAATCTGATTCCTTTCTCTCGTGGCTTTTAATATTCTCTCCTTATTCTGTATGTTAGGCATTTTTATTATAATGTGCCTTGGTGTGAATCTGTTGTGATTTTGTACATTTGGTGTCCTGTAAACCTCTTGAATTTGGTTTTCCAATTCGTTCTTTATGTTTGAAAAATTTTCTGCATTATTTCATTGAATAGATTGTTCATTCCTTTGTTTTGGAACTATGCCTTCCTCTATCCCAATAAGTCTTAAATTTGGTCTTTTTATGCTATCCCATATTTCTTGAATGTTCTGCTCATGGTTTCTTACTATTTTCACTGTGTGGTCTACATTCTTTTCAAGATTATATATTTTTTCTTCATTGTCCGAGGTCCTGTCTTCCAAGTGGTCTAATCTGTTGGTGATGCTTTCAATTGAACTTTTAATTTGTTTCTTTCATTTCAAGGTTTTTTTTTTTTTTTTTTTGAGAGAGAGAGAGAGAATGAATTTTTAATATTTTTTAGTTTTCGGTGGACACAACATCTTTATTTTTTTTTATGTGGTGCTGAGGATCAAACCTAGCGTATGCCCAGGTGAACGCGCTGCCGCTTGAGCCACATCCTCAGCCTCTCATTTCAAGGATTTTTGTTTGGTTTTTCTTTAGAACCTCTATCTCCCTATTGAAGTAATCTTTTGCTTCCTGTATTTGCTTATGTGGCTCTTTGTCAAGATGATTTTTTTTGCTGCCTGTATTTGCTCTCTTATATCATCCTTTAATTCACAAAACATTTTAACTATATACATCCTGAACTCCTTCTCTGTCATTTCATCTGCTGTGCTGGCCATGGATTCTAATAATGTGGTATCTTCATTTGTTTGTGGCACCTTCTTCCCTTGTCTTTTCATGTTGCTTTTGTGTCTTCCTTTTTAGCTCTGTGGATCCAAGGCGTTATCATTTTTATCCCATAGGCTTATAGTGCCCCTGTAGGGTTCCAATACCTCTCCTGAGGGAAAGGACAATGTTAACAAATATAAACAAAATACCACCTAAAAACAAATATTTGTTATTAAGATATTTACAGTTTGGTCACAGTGTACAGAAATGGTAAATTCAAGTATTATCTATAATATAATCAGTAGGTTTGTAAAAGGGTTTACAATTTCTGATGGTGGGCAAAGAACCCGGGGTGAGGTGTAGGAAGATATGTTGAGGAGGTATGAGATGAGGATATAGAGTTAATCTTAGGATGTGTGAAAGAGAAATCTAAAGAAGAATGTTAGTAGCAGGAGAATAGAGAGGTAGTAATTTGGGGTAGACAAGTAAGAGGAAAGACATAGAATACATAAAACAAACACATGTATATTAAGAAAAATTTAAAAATGTTAAAATAATAAAAATTGGAGAGAAAGAAAAAAAAGAATATACAACACAACTGTAATATACTATTCAGTTACGAGTCCTCAATATCCTAATTCATGCAAAGTACTTGCTTTCACATATGTTGGGGATGTGAGGGCAGGAGAATAAAGAGGGAGAAGAAAGAAAAAAAATCTCAAAGGAAGAAATAAGGATTGTTTTGGTTGGGGATGAGAATCTTTCCTGCTTCCCTTCTCATCCAGTAGGTGGGGTTGTCTGTTCTTAGTTAGTATCTCTGCCCTCATGATGGTGGGGGTTACCAGGGTGTGAGGGTTGGTCTTGTGTGCAGGGCACCTGGAAGTTGGGTTTGGCACTCCAGTCGGGAGACTGCACCTCAAGGATCTCCTTTGGCATCTATCTGCTCCTGTCATGTGGGTGCTGGGTCTTATCTCCTTATCGCACCTGTAGACCTCACAGTTCCTGCCCTCTAAATTAGTCTCTAAAGTGTATCTCCCTCACCCTCTCCCTTTCTACTTCCTAATCAGGAGCCTTTCTCCAGAGGTTCTTGTATGTTGCACTCTGGTGGCTGTCACAGAGGGCTGTTTTTTATTGCACTGTTCCAAGTTAGCAGCTGCTGGCGATTGGGAGGAATTAGAAAACTATGGGTACGTGGCTATTTGGTGTTCCAAACTGGTAGTTGCCCCAACTAACGATGGTGATGAAGATAACCCAAGATGGAGGCAGCTGCTTTATGGGATGGGGTGGGGTAGCCAGGAGATGTGTTGTGATTGGTTCAGATGAGCTCTGTAGCATACAGTGTTGCAGCTTTCAGCTTTTTTTCAGAGCTTCTGATGCCCCCAGGTGCAGGCCGGCTACCACAAGTAGGGGACTAAGGCAGTAGCTGCCGAGTCCCAAGATGGAGGCGACCGAGGGAGCCCCACATTGGAAGATGGGGGTCCACATGGGAGTGGTAGCTGGAGTTCCTGCATGGGTAGCAGCTGAGTGTACTTCATGGGAGCGGCGTCTGGGAATTCTGCGCTGGTGCTGATGCCCGTGGTTCCACTAAGGCACCTTGTGACCTGTGTGAGCAAGTAATCAGGAGTCAGAAGTCCTTTTCTAAAGCTGAGGCCTGGGGCACAGAATGCTGCCTCCCTCTGGTCTACCATCTTGGATCTGAGCAAAAATCACATTCTTTAGGAGCTTAACTTTATTTAATTAATTTATAAAAATGATGGAAAATAAGCCAGTTCAAAGGTCATTTAATATTCTGGATTAGAGAAGCTAATATTTAAAATGTTGGTGGTAGCAGGTAGTGCTAACAGGTTGTAGAGATATATTGGCCCAAGGTACTTAGTGAATGATGACAACTACATTTTAAGATTAGAGAATCAGAAGAAAACTTGGAAGGAGTGGGAAATGGATTCCATTTTTATCATCTTAAGTTGGATTTTATTGCTGAATTTAAGAATTTATGATATTTTTTAACCAGAAACATTTATCCTTTTTTTTTTTTTTTTTTTTTTACCCAGTAAATGCTGCTACTCTTCTTTTGGGAGCGGAGAATCAACATAAAATAAGTGTTCCTAGAGCGCCTACAAAAGATGAAATGTCTCTCAGAGCTTATACTGCACGGTGCAGGTTGAATAGATTACGCCGCACAGCATGCTGTTTATTTACATCTGAAAAAATGGTTAAAGCTATTAAAAAGCTTGAAATTGAAATTGAAAATAGGCGGTTAATTGTTCGAAAAGATAAACACCTCTGGAAAGATATTGGTAAGAAGGTTATTGATTAATTTTTAAATTTTGCATTTAGTCCCTGCCCCCAGTTTTATTGAAGGAAGTATAATTGACAGATAAAAATTGTATATATTTAAGATGTACAGTGTGATGTTGATATGCATATATATTGTAAGATGATAACTACAATGTAGCTGATTAACATATCTAGCACCTTACATAGTTACGCTTGTGGGGAGGATGGGTTGGTTGAGGACATTTAAGATGTATTCTTAACAGATTTCAAGTTTGTAATTCAGCTTTGATAACTATAATCACAATACTATAGAGTAGATCTCTAGAACTTATTCATCTTGCATAAATGAAACTTTATACCCTTTTGATAAGCATCTCCTCAGCCCTTGGCAACCACCATTCTCTCTGCTTCTGTGAATTCAATGTTTTTAGATTACATGTGCAAGCAAGATAATACAGTGATTGTTTTTCCTTTCCTGGCTTATTGCACTTAACATAATGTCCTACAGGCTTATCCATGTTGTGAAAAAAGACAGTATTTCCTTCATCTTAGAGGCTGAATAGTATTTCATTATGTGTATAGACACAACACATTTTCTTTATTCTTTCTTTCATTGATGGATACTTAGTTTGTTTCCACATCTTGGCTACAGTGAATAATGCTACAATAAATATAAAAGTAAAATTATCTCTTCCAGACACTGATTTCATTTCGTGTGTGTGTGTATGTGTGTGTATAGATAGATAGATAGATAGAGATATTTTTTGTTTCAAAGCTAAATTTACTTGCTTTAGCTTTTCTGCCCAAAATCTCACATAGATAAATATAATCATGTATAGTTAAGAATAGAAGCATTTTTCATATAGACAATTTGCTTCATATAAGTGATTATTCTTTTTTTTCCCACTGATATCTTTTCCATGGAATTTTATCCTCTTTATTTAATTAGTGATCTGAACTTGTCTTTCTTTTGATCTATATTTCAGGAGAACGTCAGAAAGTCTTGAACTGGCTATTATCCTATAATCCTTTGTGGCTTCGAATTGGCCTAGAGGTGAGCATATGTTTTAGTTTTAAACAGTTTATTTTTCAATTATATACTTAGAATATTCTTTAATAAAATTGGAGATTGAACACTTTACTATTGAGCCACACCTACAGCCTTTTTTATTTTTTATTTTGAGACAAGGTCTTGCTAACTTGTTTAGGGCCTTGCTTAATTACTAAGGCTGGCCTCAAACTGCCTCAGCCTTCCAAGCCACTTGGGATTACAGTTGTGTCACCACCATGCCCAGCTACTTCTGTAGTCTTTTAAGTATACATAATGTGGTCTTGGCTGTAATGAACCTATAGTATAGTAAACTAATTTTTGAACACTTATAAATGAAAAGACTAGGCTGTTTAAAACATATTTTCTAATTTAAGTCTCTTTAAAACTCAATGAGATGTGTATTATTATTTTTACTTCTCTAACAAAGTGAAAGCTATGATATTAAGTGACTTGTAAAATGCCAGTAATTGGTCAAGCCTTGTACCTACAACTGTCTGAGCCAAATCACAACTTTCCAATTATTTGATGGACTACTACTTTAAAAAACGTCATCCAGATTTGAGTTATTACATAGTACTTGTTAACTATTATAAAATTTTGAATAATTAGGGTTCTGTTATACTTTCATGATATCTGTAGTGGCATGGTTATAATTAAATTTGAACAATGTTCCTATACTTTTTAAAATTTTTGGTACTGGAGATTGAATCCAGCAGTACTCTACTCCAATACTTTTTATTTTTTATTTAGACTGGGTCTTGCTAAGTTGCTGAGGCTGGCCTCAAATTTGTGATCCTCCTGCCTTAGCCTCCAAGTAAATGAGATTACAGGTATATACCACTGCCCAGCAGTGGTATATACCTGTAATATTCCTTTAACTTAAAGGAAAAATTTTAAACATAAATGTAAATGCTCTTTGTCAGATGATTAAAAATTTATCTAAGTTCTAAGTTTTGTCTTTTTTTGTTGTGAAGTAAACACTTAAAAATGCATAAAGTATATATTTACAGTTTTAAAGGGTTATTTACTGAATGACTATGTCATTTCCTTACTGTTTAGGATATAGACTATTACCAGTTCTTTAGAAGATTGTTGTCTACTCTTCTCCAATAGCGTTTCATTCCTTTTTTGAGGTAGTATGATTCTGACTTTAGGTTTTAATTTTTTGTTTTTAGACAATTTATGGTGAACTCATATCTTTGGAAGACAATAGTGATGTCACAGGGTTGGCTATGTTTATTCTGAATCGCTTGCTTTGGAATCCTGATATAGCAGCTGAATATAGACACCCTACTGTTCCTCATTTATACAGAGATGGTAAACATTGCTGCTTCCTTTGCATTTTCTCCACACTATGCACAAATGGCTTCTAGTTATTCTTCCTGTTTCTATTTGTGTTTTACTTTCTTAAAGAAACCAGTCTAAATAGGTCTGTTTCCACTGCCTTCCTTTCCCTTATTCCCATTACTCCTCTTTACTATGTATAATTATTACTATTATTTGTTGTCTCTATCCATCTTCTCCCTCCAGTAGGTTATAAATCCTATTCAGATTATATTTGTCATGCTTTGCTACTGTATATATAGTGCCTAGGACAAAGCTTGCAAATAGTAGGTGCTCCTTAAATGTCAGTTGAATGAATCCAGCTAAATCTCCTCATGTGCCCATTTTCCTTATCCATGAATTGAAAATATTAAATGGTACCTCTTATGTAGAGTTGTTGTGTGGGTTTATTGAATTCATATATGTAAAACACTAAGAAAGGCACATAGATTGATTTTTTTATTTGTTTGCTACTACTTTTTTCATGTTTTAAGTGAAACTTGCCTTTCATGGATGAATTTGTTATTATTTTTTTTAATATTTTTTTCTAAGGTCATGAAGAAGCTTTGTCCAAGTTCACATTGAAAAAGTTATTGTTGTTGGTCTGTTTCCTTGATCATGCTAAAATTTCCAGACTTATTGATCATGATCCTTGTCTCTTCTGTAAAGATGCCGAATTCAAGGTATAGTTTTCATTTTATGTTATATATTTCAAATTTCCCATTTAAGACTTTTGTTGATCTTATGGCATATTTTCTGTTTAGAAAGAACATTAACTTTGTTTTTTTTTTTTTTTTAATTTTTTTTTAGCTGTTGATGGACCTTTATTTTATTCATTTATTTACATGTGGTGCTGAGCATCAAACTCATTGCCTCACACACGTGGGGCAAGTACTCTACCACTGGGCCACATCCCCAGCCCAGAAAGAACATTAACTTTCTAGAGACTAATATTTTAGAATATAATATGAATGAATGTTTATTTAGTGAATCTCATCAGTAATTCTATCTTGCCTGATTTTTTGTTGGTTAACCTTTCACCAGTACATCATTATTACTCTTAATTTTGACATGAAAATGAACTAAACTATGTTTCTAAGAAATTAATTTTGAGGGAAATTTCTTACCTAATTTTGATGTAGTATATTATCAAATTAATGCTAGGTTTTATAGTATGTTATTAATTATGAACAAATTTTAAAGAGAATATAAAATGAAAATGTATTATGATATTTGCAGTATTAACATTTGATATGAAACTGAAAATCTTTTTATACTATAATTAATTTTATGTCTATATGTACAGAATGACCAAAAGGATTTGCTTTTATTATATGAAAAGTTATACTATTGAAATATTATATCTGCAACCTGTTTCTTTGTAGGCTAGTAAAGAAATCCTTCTGGCTTTTTCACGAGATTTCCTAAGTGGTGAAGGTGATCTTTCCCGTCACCTTGGCTTTTTGGGATTGCCTGTTAGCCACGTTCAGACACCATTTGATGAATTTGATTTTTCTGTTACAAATCTTGCTGTAGATTTGCAGTGTGGAGTGCGTCTTGTGTAAGTATAAGAAATAGAATCATTTTGCTAATGGAATAGACTAAAATTTTTTGGAAAACATCGTACTCTGTACTCATAAATATATATATTTTTTGTTCTTGTAATGGAATAAATTTAGGGTTGAAAAAAATTGAGATTTCTCTTTCAAAAAAATGATATCAGTTTTATGCCCAGAAACTTTTCTCCTATCACACTTTTTTTCTGTTGGCATGTGACTTGAGTACATGCTCTGTAGTACATGGTTAGGAACTACTGATATCTCAGAAAAAGACTGGGAAAGAGCATGAAACTAATTAAAACATGAAACACTTAAATACATTTTATATCAATAGTAGCTTCATGAGTTCCATTATCATTTCAGACTAGCTTTAGTAGCATTTACTTTGTTTTAATGTTTGATTAAAATCAGATGAAGTGATAGAATGACTTGCCCAAGTTTTATAGAGTAAAATGGAGATATAGACTCTTTGGTGCCTGACTTTAAATTACAGAATATTTCCCAAATAATAAACTGGAATCCCTCACAATTGGCTATGATTTTAGTAATGGATTGCTTATTTCAGCTTTGGAAGGCCTGGCTTTGACCATGTACTTCAGTTAGTCTCTTTAGAATTTCTGGATTGGAGACATTAGTCTTATTTCTAGGGAACTCTTCAATATGTTATACCCTTATCAAGGAAACACTTTGAGGGTTAAAAAAAAAGAGAGAGAGATTTAGTTATAGATGGGCACAATATCTTTATTTAATTTATTTACTTCTATGTGGTGCTGAGAATCAAACCCAGTGCTTCACACATGCTAGGCAAGTGCTCCACCACTGAGCTATAGCCCCAGCCCCATTATGTATGTTTTTTTATGTGTATTTAAATTTCAAACCAGCCAGTTAAACTGGTAATGGGTTGGTCTATTGTTGCAGAAATGTTTCCTACATTGATTGGTCTAGGATGATCTTAAGTCATTTTCTAGCCTTTAGAAACTGTGATCTGTAAATAATTTTGCCACGTTTTAGTTATATACAACATCAGATGAGGCTTGCTTTTTCTGTGGAAATATTGACTATTGTGTAGTGGATAAAATATTGGTAACCTAGATGATATTAGGAATTTGAATTCAAGCTCCGGAGTACATGTCTTTTTTAGGTAGACATTCAACTATGTTTATTGTATGCATTACTATTATACGCAGAGAGAGAGAAAGAGAATGTGACCAACTGTAGTTATGGAAACTGATGAAACAAGATTTTAATTGCTGTCTTATTTCTGTCATAGCAGTATATGATGATGAATTAGATCAATTAAATTAACTTCCTCTGGGCCTTTGTTTCTTTCTCTGTAAAAAAAAAAAGGGGGGGCACTAATACCTGCCTATGGGATTTACCATGATGACTAAAATAAAAAAACAAAAAAAACACTTAACTTGATTAATAGATTATAGCACACCTTAATACATGCCTCCTTCTTCTTATCCTTCCTCTCCTTCCTTTTTGTCTTTCTCTGTAGAAGTTTATTATTTTGTTAATACGTATATTTTTGTGTATGCTTCAGTTTTCTTATCATTTTATTCATGGATTTCCATATTTAAAAATTAAAAATGAAAAACAGCTACTCATTAACTATGGAGCAATACAGTTTTGAGATAGTTATTTGGAATCTTTTTGACTTTACTCTCTTTAAACTCTTGGGATTTATGTGGGTAATAACTATTTTTAAATGAATATTTCTTTTCATATATATTGTTACATAGCAAATTCATCTGAAAATTTCTTTACTACTAGGCGAACCATGGAACTTCTCACACAGAACTGGAATCTTTCAAAGAAACTCAGGATTCCTGCAATAAGTCGTCTTCAAAAAATGCACAATGTTGACATTGTTCTTCAAATTCTTAAATCACGAGGAATTCAATTAAGTGATGAACATGGTAAAAACTGAACAGAGAAATACTTATTCTCATTGAATATTGGTAGATATATATACATGAATCATGCTAATAGACTGCATTTTTATTGGCAGGAAATTCAATCCTATCTAAGGATATTGTGGATAGGCACAGAGAAAAGACTCTTGCATTGCTTTGGAAAATTGTATTTGCTTTTCAGGTATTATACATTTGGCACATTTTGTGGTTTTTTTTTTTTTCAATTTTGATTACTAGTTTATAAAAGGAATTTGAATCAAATAAACACAATAATAACTACCACTTATTAGAATTTATTCTGTCTCAGGCCTGTGATAATTTTTGTATGTATTCTATTTTAATATTTCTCACACATGTATTAGGTCATGTTAAGTCTCCTTCACAGGTGAGGAAACTGAAGCTCAAGTTTATATCATTGATACGTGGAACTGTGTAGGGATGTAGCTTAGTAGAAGAGTGCTTGCCTTGCCTAGCATGTATGAGGTCCTTAAAGAAAATGTAGATTTTTCTGTACTTTGGGAATTTTATTTTTGGATTTTAAAATTTCTAATTAGGTTTTATTTTTTTAACCTGCAGTTGATCAAAATACAGAATAGATACTTTAATTCTGTAGGTCAAAAATAACATGATGTGGAACTAGAGAGAACAAAGGAAAAAAAAGGGGGGATAGGGTGGGGAATCTCATGAAAATAGAAGACCAGTACAGTAGAGGAAAGTGAGGCAAGAAAGGAGAAGGCAGGAGAGGAGGAAAAGGGGAGAAGGGTACTAGGAAAAGGCATTGACAAATCATGTCATGGGTATGTATGAATATGTAACAATGAATCCCACTATTATGTACAATATAAAGCACCCATAAAACATTAAAAATATAAACTAATATATTAAAAATTAAGGAATTTATCCTTTTTTTATATGTTTCAGGTGGATATTTCCCTTAATTTAGAGCAATTAAAGGAAGAAATTCACTTTCTAAAATACACACACAGTATAAAGAAATCAATGTCTGCAGTGTCGTGCCGCTCTGATGCTATTATTAATAAGAAAAAAGACAAAAGAAATAGTGGTTTCTTTGAACAGTATAGTGAAAATGTGAAATTATTGATGGACTGGGTAAATGCAGTTTGTGCCTTCTATAATAAGAAGGTAAAGTTTTTTTGTGGTTGTTTTTGTTTTAATTCACTATCTTTAAATAATTTTGGTTGATGTCAATTAAGCTTAATGCATAAAATATTTTCTTACATTTCTTAAATAGTGTAATTTTCAGATTTAAAGCAGACTTTTCCTCACATGAATGATTATATTGTTATAGGCTAGATTTTAACTAATCTAAGTTGTCACCAATTGGAAAATGCATGATGTAAGTTTTATATATCACTAAGGGGGAAAAATGCCCTTAATTAAGCATTTATACAGAACTGGTATACGATGTCCATTTTGTTATTATATTCTTGTTTAAAATGGCTATCAAGTGTAGTAGAAGCATATGCAGTATTCATAAGAGAAAACTGTGATGTTCCAAGCAAAGTATGTACATTAAGTAAACTTTGTTTAGGCATTGAGTATATAGTGCTGTTGGCCATGCTTTGTTTCTGACTGAACCAGAAACATACATAGAACAATGCCATCTACGGATTGATGAAATGTTGGGACCAGAGGCTCACAGCAACTTAACTGTGTCTTTCCCCCCTGAGAAGTGGTCAGTATTCCCTATTCAGTGTTCATGGATAATGAGAATTGACTATAATTACTGTATTTTCTTAAGAGAGCTATAACAAATTACTGCAAACTAGACCTTTATTCTATTCACAGCTCTAGAGACTTGAAGTCTGATACCATGCCTGAGATGGGAACATGCTCTCACTAAAGTCTCTAGGGAACTGTGTCATGTTCTTAAGTACTGGTGGTTGCCAGCAGTGCTTGGTAGTTTTTGAATCATCTGTGCATTATTTCAGTCTCTGCCTCTTCCCGTCTTATGGTGTTCTCCTTGTGTTTCTGTCTGTGTGTCTCTTTCTTCTTAAAAGAACACCAGTCATAATGGATTAAGAACTCACCCTACTTGTATGACCCCATGTCACTTAATTATATCTATAATGACCTTGTTTCCAAATAAGGTCACATCCTGAGGTTGTGGGAAGGACATGAAGTTTTGATTGATACTATCTAATCCAAGACAGTAATAATATAAAATCCTACTTTTGAAATGGTTAGGATTTAATATTTGAGAATTTGGCTGTGCATATGGAATACTAGATTCTCTTAACAATTAGTGTGATACTCTTTAACTACTAAAAGGATATAATGTTCTATGAAAGCTTATATGAGTATTTAAAAACAATTAATTATTTTTCTGGTATTTCCAATCAGGTAGAGAATTTTACAGTGTCTTTCTCAGATGGCCGTGTGTTATGTTACCTTATCCATCACTACCATCCTTGCTATGTGCCTTTTGATGCTATATGTCAGCGTACTACTCAAACTGTGGAATGCACACAAACTGGTTCAGTGGTATTAAATTCTTCCTCTGAATCCGACGACAGTACTCTGGACATATCTCTTAAATCATTTGATCCTGGTTAGTTCTTTTTTGTTGATCAACCTTTCTGGTTCTTTGCCATGTCTGATTTTGGGCAATAGCATTCTAATTTCTCTCTCTCTCTCTCTCTTTCTTTCTTTCTTTCTTTCTCTCTCTCTCTCTCTCTCTCTCTCTCTCTCTCTCTCTCTCTTTCTTTCTTTCATAGAAAATACTTCAGAACTCCACAAAGAACTTCTGGAAAATGAAAAGAAAAATTTTTATTTGGTCAGGTCTGCAGTTAGAGACCTTGGTGGAATACCTGCTATGATTCATCATTCAGATATGTCAAATACAATTCCAGATGAAAAGGTAAATAAGGGTTTCTTAAACTCTTAATAAGTCTCAGAATATAACAGTGAGTATATATTCTCTGTTGGTCATCTGTATTCATCTTTTGTGTTTTTTTAGGTGGTTATTACCTATTTGTCATTTCTTTGTGCAAGGCTTTTAGATCTTCGTAAAGAAATAAGAGCTGCTCGACTTATACAGACAACATGGAGAAAATATAAAATAAAAACAGAACTAAAGCTCTATGAGGTAATCCTAGAAAATGAAGACATATGAATTGTACTTTAAAATATGCTAGTGTTTTTTTTTTTGTTGTTGTTTTTTTAATTGTGCTGTTGATCAAACCCAGGACATACTTGGCTAATGTTTTATCACTGAACTACTATACAGCCTCCAGTTGATTGGTTCTTGATGTGAATTTTATATTTACTAATATATGAAGTTAAAAAGATAAATTTAATAATTGCATGTATGTATTTTGAGGTGACATGGTGTGAATATTCTAATCACTACTATTTCCTTAATTTGACACCTTTCCACCTCTGTCCACCCTTTCACTTAGTCTGCCCTAGGGCATGGGGAATAATGTTGTCTGCTTTGTAAATTTGTGACGAATAACTTAGGGATGCTTGACTCAGCTCTTTTTTCAGCAGGACTCTCCTTTTGATTTTTTCAAGTTGTGCTCTGTGAGGCTTATCCTAGTGCTAGTGTTGACTGGGTCTGGACATCAAGTGTCTGATTTTGCAGTAATTAACAAGACCATTTTGTTTGTCCTGAGACCATCTTTCAGTTTATCCTTTATAAAGCAGTACTTTGGTGTCCATTATTTTATTTTTCAAAATGTTTAAGATCTGGACACAGGGATAAAGATGTTATTTATTGCTTTCTTTTGTGATCCCAACAGTACAAAATTTTTCATTAACATAAAATAGCTTCATTCTTAGGTTCTGAGAAAAATGCCATTTTTAATAATCTGAGAAATGGTCTCTTGACCAGTCGAACAGAACAGATTATTTTAACCCTTTTATCTTCCTACCTACTAACCAATATTATACTTAATATTTAGAAAACCATCAATAATAGAACAAATAGTCGTTGTCTAATAAAATTTATCATATATATTTCAGAAATAGGTTACATTCATTATTGCTTCTCAATTTTTAATTACAGTAAATTTATATTTATGGCCAGTTTTCAGTAGCTATCTAAAACAACTAACATTTTGGCAACTACAAAACATAACCTGCTTTCCTACACAGTGTCTGACTTAGAAAGAATAATAACTGAAATAATTTGCTCTTGCCCAAAGTCCTGTAGTAACTTAATTAACTTAAAAAAATTAATTATCATATAAGGAATAAAGTCTTAAATAATTAAGTATTTAATTCACATTTGCTGGTTTTGTTTTTTAAGGAGAGAGATAAAGCTGCAAGAATTATTCAGTCAGCTGTAATAAATTTTCTAACCAAACAACGAGTGAAAAGAAAGATTAATGCAACACTGGTCATTCAGAAATATTGGAGAAGAGTCTTAGCACAAAGAAAATTATTAATGTTAAAAAAGGAAAAACTGGAAAATGTACAGAATAAAGCAGCAACGGTCATTCAGGTATAGTATCCTGACCAATTTTTTTAACTTAAACATTTCTAGTAACATTTTAAAGGAAGAAGGAAAAATATGACAAAGTCTTCAATGATTATATATTAGAATTCTTTTTCTAATGTTGTTAATATCCAAAGATGATTGATTCCAGGACCCCTTTGTAAATACCAAAATCTGCAATGTATATGATTTGCATATTATCTATGTATGTCTTCCTGTATATTTCAATTTTCTAAATTACTTATAATACGTAACACAATATAAGTGCTGTATAAATGATTATTATACTGTATTGTTGAAGGAATAATGATGATAGGAAAAGTCTGTACATGTTCAGAACAGGCACTTTTTTTTCTGGAATATTTTCAATCTCTTGGTTGAATTTGATAATGTAGAATTCATAGATACAGAAAGCTGACTATATTTGATTTAAAAAACATTTAGCATCTCGTTACTACCTGTGAATCTCTTTGCTACATTCAGCATAAGACTGAAACATAATTGAAATTCTTCTTTGTTCTGAAAGGGACAAGACTCTAGTTCTATGCATCTTGCTGTCTTCATTTTGTATTAGAGACTTGTAGTCTTCCACTGCATGGGACATTGTGGCATACAGCATCACTCTATTTTGTATCCATGTACCTTACCAAGGTATAGCTTTATCTTAATAATGAGTCCTAGAAACTTCTCTTTGGGAACAAATAATACACACATTTTTCTTCCAAGCCCATTTAGTTAGTATATAATGAAAATAATGCTTATAATTAGTCAATAGAATGTCTATGTTATTTTACTTTTTAGCCAAAATATGTAACATCTATTTAACATAATATGTTCCTTGTGTTGACTATTCTGGGTCCTTTGCTTTTTTGTATAATGTTAGCATCAGTTTGCTGATATCCAAAGTAATTGGTGAGATTTTGATTGAGATTGGATTGAATCAAAATAAAGAATTGACGTCTTGATAATTTTGAGTCTTCTTAAACATACATGACCATGGTATATTTAGATCTAAATTTCTGATATTTCATCAGTTCTGAATTTTTGCTCATATAGATTTTGTACATATTTTGTTAGATATGCACCTTAGCATTTCACTGTTTTGCTACAAATGTAAATAGTACTAAGCTTATACATTTATTGTTTACTTATTATTCTGAGATTTTTTCTTTTTTCTTTCTTTTTTTTTTGCTGTAGATTCTTTGGTACCCAGTCTCTATACTGCTCTACTTGCATGAAAGGAAAAAAAAAAAAAAAAAAAAAAAACTATATATATATATATCAATAACCAAAAATAAATATA